ATGGGGAAAGAATAGTCTTTCATTAAATGGTGCTGGGGCTACATACACAAAAGTTAAATTGAAATAGGTCAGACACCTAAGGTAAGAGCGAAAACTATAAAATTTTTAGGAGAAAATATAGGGGTCAATCTTCATGACCTCGTTTGGCAACAGATTCTTGACAACGACACCAAAAGCATGAGCAACAAAAGAAAAAAATAGATAAATTAGACTTGGGTTTTAGAAGATACTATCAAGAAAATGAAAAGACAATCCAAAGATTGGGAAAAAATATTTGCAAATCATATGTCTAATAAGGGACTTGTATCTAGAATATATGAAGATCTCTAATAACAGTAATTAAAAAGACAAATGACCCAATTGAAAAATGGGCAAAGGATCTGAACAGACATTTCTCTGTAGAAGATATCCAAATGAACAATAAGCACGTGAAAAGATGTTCGATATCATTAGTCATTAGAGAAATCAAAACCGCAATGAGATGGCAGTTCACACCCACAAGGATGGCTATAAATTAAAAAGTCAGATAATGACAAGTATTGTTGAGGATATGGAGACATTGGAACTCTCATACACTACAGGTGGGAATAGAAAATGCCACTTTGGAACACAGTTTGGCAATTCCTTAAGCAGTTAAGCGCAGAATTACCATATGACCCAGCAGTTCAACTTCTAGGTATGTATGCCTAACAGAAATGAAAACAGGTCCACACAAAACCTTGTATATGAATGTTTATAGCAGCATTATTCATGATAGTCAAAAGATGGAAACAATTTGAATGCCCAACTGATATATGGATAAACAAAACGTTGTCTATCCATATAACGGATTCCACTGTGATATTATTTCGCCAGAAAAAGAAATGAAGTACTGATCCATACTACAGCACAGATAAATCCTGAAGACACCACACTAAGTTATAGAAACCAGTCACTAAAGACCATATATTATATGATTTTATTTCATTAATTACTACTTAAAGGTAGAATTACAAATTATATGATACAGGTAGGTATGGATTATATGAAAACAGTTTATACTCATGGATGGAAGATAGAATTGCTTATTTAATTAGTTATATATGATATTTCCTTATGTCAAAGGCACTATTAGACTATAAAATACATCATCCGTCAGAAAGTAAATTAGTAGCTGTTTAGGGTTGTGGGAGGGATGGAGAAGAGGAATGATAGTTAAAGGGTATAGGATTTATTTATTTTTTTTAAAAAATGTTATTGGGGAATTGGGGGAGGAGAACAGTGTTGGGGAATTGGGGAAGGGGACCAGCCAAGTTGTTGCTCTTTAGTCTTAGTTGTGGAGGGCGCCAGTCGCCATCTGGCTTCCCGTCGGCAGCTTGTGGCCGCCAAGCTCAAGGCGCTGTGTTCAGTCTTAGTTGCGGGTGCATAGCCACCATCCCATGTGGGAGTCGAACCAGCAGCCTTGTTGTTAAGGGCGCATGGTCTATCTACTGAGCCGTCCGGGCAGCAGCTCAGCTGAAGGTGCCGAGTTCAGTCTTAGTTGCAGGAGGACGTAGCCCACCATTGAACAGGCAATCTTGTTGTTATACTAACAGCCATCCTGCCACCTGTTGGCAGCTCAGTGACAGCTCAGCCCGGGCGCAGCGTAATGGGCCCATGTGGGAATCACACCTGTGGCCCTGTTGCTCAGAGCTTGTGCTCTTAAGCCAACTCTTAACCAACTGAGCCACTTGGCTGGCCCCAGGATTTATTTTTGAGGTGATGAAAATGTTCTAAAATTGGCTGTGGTAATAGTTGCACATTTCTTTGAATATACTAAAAGCCATTGATTGTACACTTTAAATTGATGAATGGTATATATGTGAATTATCTCAATAAAGCCTTTAAAAAATTTAACCTTACAGTGCGTTTATATCTTTGATTTTATATTTGTATTGTTCAAAAACTGAAAATTTGGTTCCTAGAAATATAAACATAATTACTTACTTGCTTTATAGCATACTTGTATATAAAAATTTCTAAAACAGTAAAAGCATTCCTACTAACAATAAGACCACTGAATAAAGCTCAAGATTTCTTTGTAGCTCTCCTTGTCCTTAGAATGTACTATATTAGGGATGTAATATAAGAATGCTCATTAAGAACATTGAGTATCATGAGATCCAGCTTTCCTAGAGTTTGGGTTGCATGGAGGAAACCCACTGGAGGAGTTTCACTGTGAGCGGTGCCTGTGTGCATGCCTGTCTGCCGTTTGCTGTTAAGACATGTACATCTTACTCTCTTTCTTTGAGTCCAGAGAATCCCTTTAACGGGCTGGTAGTATATAGACAAACACTACCTTTCTTTTTCAGACTTTTAGTTCACGGGCATCTGTTTCTCAGCTATAGGTGTCTTTGCCAGATTACTAGGTGATAACGCAGATTGGGTTTGTAACTTCACCTCTATACCTTTGACCTTAGCCCTTCCTCTGCCAACTCCCTCTCCCCATTTTTCCAGTGAGCTTGGATTCAAATCCTGGCTTTGCCCTTTAACAACTGAGGTGATTAGTCAGTAAGCTGAGTTCCCTTTTCTAATGAGTTCAATAGGAATAGTGCCAACCTCAAAGATGCCATTGTGAGAATTAGATAAGACAGCATGTAAAATGCCTATTGCTAAGGCAGTGTAGGTGTGCAGTAAATTTACTTCCCTTTCAGCTTGAAGGATAGAAAATTGATTCTCGGTCTTTGGACTTCAGAAGATCATTTTCTATGCATTCATTAGACATTTATTCTTGTGGCCTGTTTTGTGAAATGCTGATGAACCCATTGCCAGAAATGTGAGGGATTGTCTAGCCCCTTTATTATGTACAATTATTTTTTTTCAATTACAGTTGACATTCAGTATTATTTTATATTAGTTTCAGGTATATAGCATAGTGGTTAGACATTACATATACAGTAAAACCTTGGATTGCAAGTAACTTGGTTTGCGAGTGTTCTGCAAGATGAGCAAACATATCTAATACATTTTTTTTTAAGATTTTTATTGGGGAATTGGGGGGATGGGAACAGTGCTGGGGAATTGGGGGAAGGGGAACAGACAAGTTGCTGTCGTTTTGCTCTTCAGTCTAGTTGTGGAGGACGTTGTTTCACTGGCCCAAGTTGGCACCATCATTGCGCTCTTCTGGGCGAGGCTGATCAGTCGCCGGCTTCTGGACGGCCGCTCACTGCGGCTGCTGGCCGCTCATGCTGGCTGCTGGCTACATACAGTAGCCCATGGCAACCCACTGCCACAGGGGCTGCAGCCTACGTTGTTGCCGGCGACTCACAGCAGCCCAGCTCCAGGATGAGCTGTTGTCCAGCATCTTAGCTGCAGAGGGCAGTATCACTGGCCCTCATATGTGGGATCTGAACTGGGGCCCTCTGGCGTCCCAAGCCAGTTCTTAACCATCGCGCCGGCCCTCTAATACATTTTAACTGAGTAAACAAGTGATGTCTTGCAATACAAGTAGTTTGTTTCCGGAGAGAATTATGCTCGCAAACCAAGGTGTTACTGTAATTAATTTTGACAATCACTTTCTTTCAGATACTGTGATACTGGGTAATTATCCTCCCATCTTTTCATCTCACGTATTTAGAGAAATAAATAGAATCTGACTGCCAAGCCAATATTCATTTATTCTCTATTTGGTATTCACATTGCCTTAGATATATGGATAGTTACCTGTTTCTCCTTTTAAGGGAGAAAGTCTACATTCTTTTTTTTTTTTTAAAGATTTTATTGGGGAATTGGGAAGGGGAACAGCCAAGTTGTTGTCCTTCAATCTTAGTTGTGGAGGGCCCAAGGGCCCAGCTAGCTCAGCTCCAAGTCCAGTCTCCATCTTGCTGCCTGTTGGCAGCTCATGGCAGCTCAGCTTAGGTGCCATGTTCAATCTTAGTTGGGGGGGGGGTGCAGCACCCCCCATCCCATGAGGGAGTCAAACCGGCAGCCCTGTTGTTAGGAAAACGTGCTCTCATCAGCTAAGTGATCCTGCCACCTGTTGGCTGCTCAGTGACAGCTCAGCTTGGGCACAGTTCACTGGTCCATGTGGGAATTGAACCGGCAGCCCTGTTGCTCAGAGCTGAGCCACTCGACCGGCCCCAAGTCTACATTCTTTTTTTTTTAAGATTTTTTATTGGGGAATTGGGGGGATGGGAACAGTGCTGGGGAATTGGGGAAAGGGGAACAGACAAGTTGCTGTCGTTTTTGTTCTTCAATCTAGTTGTGGAGGATGTTGCTTCACTGGCCCAAGTTGGCACCATCATTGCGCTCTTCCCTGGCGAGGCAGATCAGTCGCCGGCTTCTGGACGGCCGCTCACTGCGGCTGCTGGCCGCTCACGCTGGCTGCTGGCCACACACGGTAGCCCATGGCAATCCACTGCCACAGGGACTGCAGCCCACGCCGTCGCCGGCGACTCATAGGCAGCCCAGCTCCAGGATGAGCTGTTGTTCAGCATCTTAGCTGTGGAGGGCAGTGTCACTGGCCCTCATATGTGGGATCCGAACCGGGGCCCTCTGGCATCCCAAGCGAGTTCTTAACCATCGCGCCACTTGGCCGGCCCCCAAGTCTACATTCTTGATGAGGGAAGTTGTAAGCTGATCTCTTCTTCATTAGATTTTCTGTGTTGTTTAATTCTTTGTAGATTCATTTGTTACTTTGTATCAACACATTGTGTTGCCATATTTGTTTTTACAACACGATTGAGACAAGCACTCTAAAATATGAAACAGCAGGGCTGTGAATCATGTATCCTAGGAGTGTGTGGAATAAGGGAGGTAATGTATATGTAATGTCCTTAGCTTCATGCTTGGAACATATAAGTGCTCAGAGAATGCTAACTGTGAACTGTTATTATATGTGTATTCTTCGTCTTCCAGATTTAAAATTCTTTAAGAGCAGGGTCAGTGTAATCTATACTTCACAGATTATGAAGTCAACATTTTACTTGTTAATTTAATTTTATCTCATCATAGTTTTTAATGTTTCATCTTTTGTCTTACAGTGACAAAGCTAGAGAATCTGTTTATAGATGATTCAGGTCAATATTTGGCTATTCAGTTCCACCTGGAATGTGCATATATATTTTTATATTATTACGAATATAAAAAAGCAAAAGATGAGTTCAGTATTGCTAAAGATATCAGCAAGTTACAAATTGATTTGACAGGTAAGATTTTTTTTTTACCTTTCGTGGATAATTGATTTATTTTTATGATAAAACTAATATATACATTGGTAGTTTGGCTGTATTGTTTGTTTATATTTGAATTTCTATGTCCTGTTCTTTACAAATATAGATTTTAAAGATTTGATTTTAACAATTTAGTTTTACAACAAATTCGAAACTATATAGTTTTTTTATTCCTGGAAATGCCCATTTGTTTTCTAATCTAATGAGACACATGTTAGTCATGTATAGCAGCCTGGCAGTACCCAAGTGAACTTCTGACCATTTGGTTGTGGACGTGGGTCTCTTAAGACCCCTCCGGATTCCCAAGTTTAGTTTGGCCTTTCTACTTTGCCCTCTTTTATAAATACCCACCATGGCTTCCATCCTGCCTTTTTTGTATCCCTTCGGAATAGAATATTTTGACTGCTTTGTGTAGATGTTCCCTCAGTGCCTTAGAACGCTTTCTGGCATATAGTAGGCTCTCAGTAAACATTTGGTAAGTGAAGAAATAAATGACAAAATGTCTCCTAAAACATTTTAGGATGTCTCTGTGTTTCTTCTGAGTACCAAATAAGAAACAATGATTTCTTTTTATGTATTGCTCTGTCCCTAGTGTCTTACAATATAATTGGCATTCAATATTGAATCCATTAATGGAAGTCAGACATCATGAAATGGTCACACCATTTATACCTATTGAACCTGAGCTCGGCATACCAGACTGTGACTGCCAGTCTGTGAATGTTGAAGTGATTGAACCTGTATGTCCTCCCCAGGCGAGGTCTAGATTATCTGAGGCACTTTCTTAGCTTCCAAACTCCATGTTTCTTATCGCATTATATAACAAAATCCTTCAGATGTATTGGGTTGTTGGAAAAGTCATGACGCATTTTTGCAATGAAAAACAGAAAAAATATGTCGTGACTTTTCCCACAACCCAATATTATGAGTTAAATATGATTTTGTGGCCTGGTCTAGGATCTTAGCCATCTTTTATTCTATTGTTTGTGTAGGAAAAATTACTAAATATCCAGCTTACAACTTTTGGAACAATGGCCATGTGTAAGTTGGAGTCTTGTCTGTATTTGAAAATGTAGTTATAAATAATATACCTTGTGAGGTTAGTTTCAGAGATTATGTTTTTGAATGTTGTGGTCCTCCTAGAAGACTTTTTTTGGTCTACTTAAAAAGCTAATAGCACAGTAATCTGTATGGTCAACTTTAATTGTTGGTGTATTTATGTACTAGCTAGTTCTTCCTAATTTTCCAAGTTAAGAGTGAAGAACTTGAAAATACAAATGTGATGCTCACAAATATAAAATGAGAATCAGATTATTTTTTTCCATTCAGCTGCAGCCTTATTGTAAAAAAGTAAGCTGTGTTAGACCACCTCAGTAGCTATTTTTAGTGTAACATGTTTAAAAGGTTGATGTATAACATGGAGCCAGACCCACTGCAGGAGGAAATCCAGACTTCTCAGGCTGGTCTTTGTAATCAAGGGTCTTTGTAATCTGACTCTTGCCAGAGAATGGACGTTAGAACGTTTGCTTCTCTTAAATCTATTTCGCAGCACGTTATTTCAGATACAAAATGAAAAACACTAGTGTGACATGAAGCCAGATTGTGTGATGGAAGCTCTGTCTTGAAGCTCTGGCTCTGGTACTAAGAAGCCCCGTGATCTTGTGCAAGTAACTGTAACTCAGAATCTCCATTTTTTCATGTTATGTGGAGACGATAATATTTCTTCTACCTATGACACTTAATGAGTTCCTCTTTTGAGGAAATAAATAGGTAGTTTGATGCAAAAGAAAGTATATGGAATCTAGTGGCAGAAGCCCTGGATTTGAGCTCTGGCCCCATAGCTTACTGGCTTTATAACTTTATAAGTCATTTAAAAATCATCAGGTTTCTCTTATATGAAAGGGAGAAAACACCTTACAAATTCTGAAGCACCCTGAAAATATTGCTCTTTATGACTGTACAGCAGATCTGATTGACAAATCAATTGATAGACTTGTATGTGCTTTTCAGGTGCTTTGGGAAAAAGGACACGGTTTCAGGAGAATTATGTGGCACAACTTATTCTAGATGTAAGAAGGGAAGGGGATGTCTTTCCAAATTGTGAATTCAGTCCAGCCCCGACTCCTCAGGAACATTTAACCAGGGTGAGTAGGATCATGTGTAACGTAAATTTGCATCTAAGTCTTAACAGTTTCCACAGGTGAGTTTCATAAAAACACTGGAAGGGGTGGGAAGAGGCTTCATTTTGTCCCTTCTTGAGCTTTTTCAAGGTGGCTGGGGGGCTGGGCCGAGGAAACCCCTTACGTGTCCCCCTGACCTTGAAGAAATCCAAAAGGCAGACTTGGGTAGAGAATAATTTTTCTAGCTGCTACTGTATTTGTTGCCTTACTTTTGCCTTCTGTCGATATTTTTTAACATTGAGACTTAAAATTTCTTGAGCTTCACCCAAATATATAAACAGATGATCAGAAATTATTTTTACTAGTTTCTGATCTGTCTTGTTACTCTGTCATTATTGGGCTCATTCCTGCCTTAGTATGTTTTTCTTGATCTGGCTGATGCTTTCTCTTTCCGTAACGTGAACTTATGGTTCTTGGTCAGTTTATCTAGTCATCGGACTTTCCATCTACTTCCATGGAGGCCATTAGCATTTATATGTTTTTATCCCAAAGACCCTAAACCAACATTTTTGGTTGTTCTTTGGTTGATGTTACTATCTTTGAAGCCCATGTCTTGCTACTCTTTATTCCAGAACTTGCAAACAAATTTACCTTGGGTACATTGGACACTAAATTCTGTTCCAAATGAAAATAATGCCAAGGGTAGGGGCTAGGGATGGCAGCAGTCAGGAGCCCCGAGAAAGGCCTTCGATGGGATGTGACATACCTCCCGGGCTTGCTCTGAGTCCTCCGTTTGCTTTGTGATAACTTTGGGGAGGAACAGCTACTGATTCTAGGGGGAGAAGGAAGGGAGGGAGAGATTGAGAGAGGGAGGAAGGAAGGGACAGAATGAGAGAAGGAGGGAGGGAGGGAAAAATGTAGAAACTTAGAGATAAGACTACACAGGGTACAGCCTACACTTCCTGAAGTTGGTCGAGCCATTGTTGGCTTGATGTTTGTACTGCTGTGTTGATACTGGTCAGGAAACTGGGCTGAAAACTGCTTCTGTCCCTCATGTCCTTTTTGTACATACTGGACCCTCTTTCTTAAGCTTTTTGTTGTAACCCAAGTCCCTCCCTAAGTCTTAGATTAACTGTCATAAGCCTGATTTTTAGCACATAACACAGCATCAATGAAAAGAGATTTAATTCTGCAATTCAAAACATTTATTTCAGTAATCCATTGTTGTTCGTTGTCTTTTATGTGGAGTTCTCCCATGGAAAATTGTCTCCTGTGATGATAAACATATGATGATGATTATGAGGAATGTATAAAAATGATGTACATTTTAATACAGAATTTATTTACTCTCTCATATTTGAAATAAAATACATTCAGATAATCTTATGGTTTTCATTAATTACTACTTAAAGGTAGAATTACAAATTATGTGATACAGGTAGGTATGGATTATATAGAAATGGTTTATACTCATGGATGGAAGATAGAATTGCTTATTTAATTAGTTATATATGATATTTCCTTATGTCAAAGGCACTATTATATTATAAAATACACCATCTGTTTAATAATCACTCACCAGGAAAGAAAGGAATACTATTATACCAATTATAGTGATTACAAAATATGTCTTCATTAGAAATGTTACAGTGTAAAACATATATCTTAGAGTTGAGGAAATGCAGTAATTTCATTGCCAATGAGGAACATAGTATTTCCCTTTGGGCCTTCCTAGATTTTTAATCTGTTACCATGGGGAATTGCATAGACTAAAGCTATTATTGGATTTCAGTGTTTAATAGCCAACAATTAATTATGAGCAACCCCAATGTGCAAGTCGAAAGCAGAGCCTTTCTTCTCTCATGTTCAATTGTATGGAGAAAGTGAGGAAGGAGAATAAATTAAAATTATGTATTCACAGAAAACACAAACACATATGTGATCAGCATGACTAATAAGAAGTATACATTGAATGCTGCGTATGGTGTGTCCTATATAATGGAGATAAATTATGTGCTAATTTTTTTTTTTTACATTAAGCATAATATAGCCATTAATTTCAATGCTTAAAATGAATACAAAGGGAAATAAAGATGACAAAAACACACATAATATAACAATGTCATATATTTGATGGTATAAATGAATACACCAGGATGGTGTTAAAGATAGAACCAAATATCCAAAATGTAACATTCATTGGTTTGCTGCTCCAACACAACACACTTTCAGACAGACCTAAAAGATCTCAAAATAAGTAGATGCAAAGTTAATTCTTGCATGTGATTCTAGCTTAAAAGATTTCAGAAAACAGAGCAGAAATACCAGTTTTTGTTTTTATCAGCTGTAATGTCAGGCATAGTCAGAACAAGAAAAATTCTATAATATAATACAAGAGAATCCAGATATATGTCTTGTGTGGTTGGCCTCTGTTGCAAGATTGTACAAGGTTATGTGCAAAAACACTCTCCCAAAGTCCATACTAGCGAAGTTTCAGGCTTTTGATAGGTAAACTAGATATAGAGTTAATTACACAGCAAGGGCAACACTAAAAAAGAAATCTAACAACGTATACAATGACAACATCATAAGTATTACTTGAATAGTTCTGAAAGGCTGTAGCTAATTTCTTTTTTTTAAAGATTTTTATTGGGGAATTGGGGGATGGGAACAGCGCTGGGGAGTTGGAGGAAGGGGAACAGACAAGTTGCTGTCGTTTTGTTCTTCAGTCTAGTTGTGGAGGATGTTGCTTCACTGGCCCAAGTTGGCACCATCATT